TGGGAACCAGGGTTTGACTGCCTGCCTGACCTGCTTCCTCACATTGCCTGGGTAATTTAAACCCAATTTCCCCCAGAACAGGTTTCTGAGGCACAGTTAAACTCCTCAGCAAACTGATGGATACAAGCAGCAGGCACACAGTGACACCTAACAGCATTATCAAGCATCTGTAAACATGCCTTTAATTTTACATGGAAGGAAAGAAGAGAGCACCAGCCAGAGGAAAATGAAGAGCTTCCCAAATGCAGAGCTCTTCTTGCACTCGCCTTTGCAATGAAAGCCCTTAGAGGGAGGAATGCTGCTTTATATTGATGGAAGCAGGATTCTCCATGAAGCGTTAAACTCCCGTGGCAGGGAGATGTGCCTCTAACGAAGTTAATAAAAATGGCTGTAGAAAGCAAATCACTCAGCTCCTACCCCTTTATAGATTTCTGTTCCCAATCGTCCTCCTTCGGGGACTGTGGAGACTTGCCAGCTAATTTTGTGGACAGGATGGCTTCTAGGCTTGCCTCTGATCTGCAGATGATGTTATTATTTCTTCATAATTGTTTACTGTATAAAGTCAACATCTTTCTCTCCAGAGGGAGATTGCTCAGAGTCACTCATGAGAGCCTTTTAGCTCACAGTTGTGGGCCTGCTGTGGTCTTGACAACATACTTTTGTCAAGGTTAATGTCATGTCAAGGCACTATTAGTAGCTCCTTTCCTTGCACGGTTATTCTGTCAACTGTAAGAATATTAATGCAATTTAAAGTTATTTCTAGAGCATTCTTGGCTGGCCTTTAGGGTTATTGCAATTACACGGACAGAATTTTCAAGATTTCCAAGAGTACTGTGGGAGTAATTGCAATTGTGGGGAAAAACTAGATTTCGGTTTGTGCTCTGAAAGCACAGAACTGAAAGCAATCACCTCCACATTCAGTCCTGGCTGACAGACGGACTCTGCCCGTGACCTCTGTTGTGCCACCTGAGCTTCATATTGGAACTTGCCCATTGCATCCCCATCTGTAAAAGTGAGATAATGCTTTTTATCAGTGTTGTGGGGATTTTATAATTTGATGATCATGAAGAGAACAGAACTGCAAGACTTTCTGTGCTACTGCTAAATGCAAAACTTCCTTAAATCTTGGAGAACAGAGGCCCAACACAGAACCATCAGACCACACTGATAGAGAAGACACAGCTCTTATTACAAAGCAAATAATTTAAGAATATTCTTGCTCATTGTCTTGAAACCATCCTTTATATGTCCCTGGGCAGAGCTGGAGGCAGCAAGGTTTGCATGTCAACAGTGGTTTTGTTAACCAATTTAGTAATACCAAGGGCAGCAAAGCACCTGACTGCGCTGGTGCTGAGCAAGACGCTCCTCTCGGTGTTATTCCAATACCAGAGTCAGGCTTATGTAACTGACTAAATAAATAAAAAAATAAATCTCTATGCTTTGTCTTACATTTATGATCCTACAAGCGTACCCGTTCTGCGCTACCCATGCTGCTTCAAGGCCTGACTTGGACTTGGTTAGATTTATTCTTATGCAGTCTCCCTTCCCGAAGGCCACTGCTGGCCGCAGAGTTCCCTACATTCAAAAGAACCAAAATGCTGTATTCTTCTTGAAAAACATTGGGACACTCTAATTGTCTCTCTAGGTTTCTATGACAACCACAGCAACATAAACAGCCTTGCTGGCAGCCACGGGAGACTGAAATCTCAGGTCTCTTCCCTCCCCTCCCCAGAGCTTCGCAGTTTAGAACATACCGTAACCCAATAAATATGATTAAGAATAAACATAGAGGTGGCACCTAGTACACCAGGCTGGCACTGGGGAAACTTCTTGCAAATAAAAATGCATTGCAGTATTTTATGATAACAGTCAAAACATTGCCTGTTCCGTCAGTGTTATTGAAGTACCTTGAGATCAACTGGGAAGAACAGTGCAAAGCTATAAATATATAAACAGAAGGGTTTTCTATGTCAGCTTGCGCGGCTGCAGAGAGCTTTAAAAAAATATGACAAGGCCTTCTCTGTTGGTGCCTCTAAGCACCTCTCACCTTGCTGGTAGGTTACCCATCAGGAATAGATAAGCCCCTGAGCGAACGTCAGGACGGTTGGGGTTAAGACGCTGCAGAGCACATCGTGTGATGTGACCGTAGGCACCTCTCCATGGCTGCAGCTCCTAGCTTTCCAGCAGGAAAATCATAAACAAAATGTGATCGCAGCAGCAGTGAAATGCTCTGCACGGCACCGTCAATCCGAGCCCAGCAGAAGCCGTTTCTCTGAACCTCCCGCATCAGGCAAGGTAGCCAGAGCTGCTGCTTTTGCTAACACTCAGGCAAACTGAGGTCCAACGAACCCCAAACAAATAGCTCAGGTCTTCCTTCTCTCCTGAGCAAAATTAATGGCGAAATAAATTTGCCACGTGAGGCCAGTGTAACTCTGGAGGTTTTAAGCCATTTAAACCCATTCAGCCAATCCTGGCTGGCATGCAGCCATCAGGATACACTGGAGTTATAAAGAGGCTGCATGTGATAATTATGGTTATCAGCTGTACATAGACCACAAAATCATCTTTCAAATTATTAACCCAGTTTCTGATCAGAAAAATGCCACGTATTTTTAAAATAATCGCCACTGTAGGTCTAGCTTGTGACAAAGTAACTTTGTGAAAGGAAAGGATGCGATTTCAAGCATCGGCACGGACGTCATTTCGTCACCAGTGCTGTTAGTTTGTCCTGGGCACTTGCTCTCCCTACGCTGCCAGAAAGATACAGAGCACTGCTGCTGCTCTGAGACACAGCTGGGGACGTAACCACACTGGTTTCACTGCAGCCATCTTCTCGCTTGGCGGGGAAATCCTACGGCTTTGTGGGACTGATTTTGCTGTAAAGCAGACTCAAGATTTGAGGAAGCAGAGCTGGGGGGGGGGGCATGAATGTGAACCCTTGGAAGCCAAAATCTATGGGGATTCCCTCTGGACCTGCATGCAGAAATACACATATCTGTGAGGAGGAGGAGGAGGAGGTGAAAAAACGTTTGCCTGTTCCACAGGGCTTGGAAGGCACAGAAGGTGCCACCTGACATTTCACAGCTTGAAGGACCGGCTTTTAGAAAACTGCCTGATTACACAGACCAGGTGGAGACAAGATTAGAAATTAATGAAATAAACACTAGAAATGGGGGTGAACGTACAATCTTTGGAAAAAGAAATGTGGAATTGCACTGGTTTTCTTTCTTAAGGCAGAACTTTCACACTAATGACTGCCAATACAACATTAAAACTGTTCATTTTTCTCTTGAAAGATTTTGAACAGGGTCCTTATACTATGGAATTACTGTACAATATGGAAATATTGTATTTTGCAATATGGAAAGGAAATACTTCTTTCCTATCTAATTTGCACCAATAGGCTGTACAGCAAGGAGGATTATGTGAGACTGAATATAAAAGGATTACTGATGCCCACGTTTACTAGATGTTATACAAGAAGACCACCTAATAAATAAAGTTTGGTTTTATCTATCAAATATTTGTAACAAATTTATGTTTCCACCTAGGTCTTCCTGCATGCTAGCATGATTTTCCTAACTACAGACATGCTACTTAAAACTACAGCATATATGAAATGAATGTTGACTTGGAATACAAAGACAGGTGTGTTAATTTACAAATATAAGAGTCCAAGTGCTGGAGAGCATATCAGGGTATTAGGTAATATGCAAAGTATGTTGTATAATGCGCCATTGAAGATAGCCACAGAAAAAGCAAGAAGGATGAGATTTTGTAGGTTTCACAGTTACTTATTAATAAACGGTAATAGCCCCAAAATGATCACAGTGCTTTTAAATTAGGATTACACAGGATATAAGCTACCCTCTTCTGCATCTGGAAAGAACTACTAGGCATAACATTCTAATAGTACTGCAATCAAAAGGAGGGCAATTTTAGAGTTATTTTAAATTAATGATTTTACAATTAGTAGATATTTTCATACCTTCCAACCTTGGTCCAATATGACTCACTGCCACTAAGGTACTTGGTTTTAACTTCTAAGAAATACACAAAAAAGTTAAAAAAAAAAAAAAAAAAAAAAAAAAAAAAAAAAAAAAGCCCGAACCACCACATAAACCTTTGCCTATTTTCCAAGTATGTTTATGGTGTGTGGGTGGCATATATGAATTATGGCAAGGAGATATTATCAGCAGTAATTACAGATTTTATCAGCAGTAATGATGTAATTCCCTTGTGGCACTGAACCATTCTAAACTCTAACCCAAGCCCTAATCATTATTAAAGTATTGACAAAGCCTTTACAGGACGTTGTTCCAACTCATAAAGCCGTTCCTTAAGAACAGTCAATATTTCAGAAAACTTGAAGGTTGCTGTGACTTCACAGGGAATCTTCTTGCTGCTTAAGAAAAAGAGGTGTGATATATTTTGCAGTTGCATCGGGACCTTTCTATGAATGCATGCATTTTTACACCCCAAGTGCAACGCATGGCATGACACCGCTTTTAAGCACAGGAACGCAGAAATCTGTGGCCACAAACCATGCTTTTGACTGAACTTTTCAGATTTTTATCATTTTAGATTATTCATCTGAGCAAGTCAGTTTCTTTAGCAGGCCAATATTAAAAGTGTGGTTTAATTAAAGCATTTAAAAAGGAAATTCATTCAGAGGGCTTTAAGTGTATATACCTAGGGAATATGCCCCTTGAATGAAGACATCAGGGAAAAGTAATTTTCCTAATTGCTAGCGTACTTTTGCCATACTTTCTAAGCAGCAGACTACAGACTACACTGAACTGGCTGCACACATCAGGGTCAAGGCTTTTATTTAGAACAGTGGTTAGAATGTAATTTCCCACTTTTGACAATGCCAAGTTATATTTTTCTTCCAGAACATCCTACGAGTAACATTTTATGTAAAAGCAAAAGTGTTCTCAATAGCATAAAATACACCATCAGTAGAGCACAAGACCAGAAAATCTTGAAAAGTGACATACCTCCCCCACGCTGCTTTCATTGTAGAATCTTTATCAACAGGAATGCATGAGGACTCAACAACACTTGATTTATTCAACTTGTAGCAGAGACCACAGTCCGGATCTAACATGCATCCATTACAATAACTAAAAGAGAAAGAAATAAATACTTAAGCAACACTTTATTCATTTGTACATGTCAAAACCAACAGCATCTCCTAATCAATATTGGGATGCACATAGTCAGGTTGTCAGTGTTGGAGACAAGATAATAGAAACTGTCCAAAAACTAATACATATCGCTTTTGCCTTCTTCTGTACCACATTTTGGTGGCCCAGTTGCAAATCTCCCAGTGACACCTGATCAGGCTGTAGGAGAATTCACTCATGAAATGAATTTTAATTAAAAAAAGACAGATTGGGGTTGAAAAGAAAGAATCATACATCATACCTAATAACCAAACTAGGATTTGGGCACACACAGCTGTGGAAGTCGCTCTGAGATCATGACACCATGCATCTCCATGTGGGAACTAGGCGCCTGAGTTCCCATTATATTTGATGGATGGAGTCAATATGTCAACGGAGCCAATTCACATACAGGCATCTAGTGCCCAGAAATACCCTGCCTGTCCTTCACCTGCCACTGCAGAGTGTGCAGCGCTCTTGCAGATTGTTCCCATGCATCACACTTGCCAGCTCTGTACAGGTATCTCTGATTTCCTTGGTAGTCTCAAAGACCAAAAGATGCTTACATTTATGCAAAGTTTCCTCAATGAAATCTTGCAAGCTATTCAAGCGACTAGACCGTAAAACTGTTCTCTGGACTTCACTGGTTGCACTGACCACATCCCCACTGACTACCGGGAGCCTAGACGCCAAGCGCCCTACGGATACCTCACTCAGGTGTCAGTCTAAAACCTGCCTCTGAGAACAAACTGAGCAGATTTGGGCATGTGAGCTATGAAGGCATTCCAAAACCCTTCATGCAGTGCAAATTATCTGAAAGCTTCTGGCACAAGCTTCCCCAGATCTTGCAAATGCTCAAGACCATTGCTGCTGTGGTTAAACTACCCAGGTGATTATCTTCCCCAGACTCCATCTCAGATTCAGAGATATGTCCTCATCAGTAAAGCCTCTGATATATTCTAAGGGATGACTTTAGGAGTTAAAACTAGGAGAATGAAAAGCAGTAAAACATGGAGTAAGTCTGGAAATTTGAAATGAAAATTAAACTTTGAAATGTAACAGCTGGAAATGTATAATTAAGGTGACCAAAATAGCTTCAAAATATATCCCTGTAACAACAAAACCAAGGAAATAATCCTTTCTGAGTGTGTATCTTTACCATAGCAATGACTTAGTGAATGAAGAAATAATCTGCTTAAACTACTATACCATTATGAGAAAAAGTAAAAGTAATTGTATAACAAAGTCCCAAGAAACTAAATCAGTAAAGCAAATTATATGGATTTAAAATGTCTGAAAGTACATGTTTAAAATCTAGTCATTCAAACTTTTCTTATTATGGTGTTTCTAAAAGAGTTATAATAAGGTCAATTCCTACGGCAGTTGGTAAAAAAGAGGGCTGGGAAAGTGTTAAAAGCAATGTATTCATTTGCATTTTCCTACTTCTCCCAAGTTTCAGAAATTTTTGCTCTTTATTATTGTGTGCTTTCTAAATTATCAAATTACTGCAGAATTTTCATGTTGTCTACTTTTTAGAAAATAAATCTATTTCAAGTACACCTTCCTCTTGCTTAACTGATAGGTCAAATTCAGGGTTGAACAGCTTTTGGTGTTTTATATTAGGAAGGCTGCATTAAATCAGCTCTTTAAATAGAGATATAAACTGCAGAAAACATTTTTACAATGGAGATGAAACAAAGCTTTCAGGTAGAAGTCAATCATCTAACTGTAGTAAACATTTCTTCTCTTACAAAGATAAATGAGAAAATTAGAATTCTGAAAGTATCAATTGCGAAAGGAAAGGACAATTCCAATATTACACTAGCAAGACTTAGTTATATTTTGTTAATCAATATTAGGACAGCAATGGGCAGCAACCAAAGCAGTTGACAGGAACAGAAGACTGCAGATGAATAAAAACATTTTTATAAATCACAAGTGTGTTTAAGTATGTAAAAAAATAACTGAAAAAAAATATAGCCTCTTCTAGTGAAAAGAATCCTATGATATCAAACAGGATGCTGATACACAGTTTTCAAATTGTAGAACATCTTCCACTCAAATGATGTTGTATATCAAAGTGCCTTTCAACAACATGAATTTCTAAAAAGACCCAGGGTGCTAGCACATCCAGCATGGCAGCTTGGCATAGAAAGCAGACATTCCCAAATACTACATGCTATCAAGTGCAGCAGTGGATTTTTAAGTCAACTATATGCAAATTACATTCAATGTGAACACCATGTGCAAAATTTAATATATTAAAGCGGTCTTTCTCTTTGGAAAATTTGAGGATTCAAGGTTTCTCTAGATTTATTGTTTTTAGCTTTTACTTCAAGCAGAAATGTAGTCAAACACCCAGCACCAGCCAAAACATCAGCAGGACACAGGAATGCAGAGGAATGACAATTAGACAGAGTAATGAGCGTCACCTTTATAGTGTTGCCAGCAGCGGACACGACAGGGACTGGATGCCTCATAGTTTCCCTCAGTGTCCTCACAAAAATCAATGCATGAGATGAATGACAGAACTGAACTGCACATTGTCTGTTCTGTCCTATGGTGCTTGCTCTACGGATAACTCCACATAACCTGAGGTGGCATTGGGTATCAGTAACCAGTCAATTGGGAAGCAGAAGGTATCTTATTTATTCCTCCACCCCAATCCAGCAGTCCAGAAAAAACTTGAGAAATTTGATTATTGATTCCAGCGTCAGTCTACACGGCTGTTAGTTCAGCTGTTCCTCAGGCTTTATTGGGTGTGCGCAACTGTGTCTTCCAGCTGGCATTCAGCATAATAAAGGCTGCTGGATTTCATGTCATGCCAAATGTCAGAGGTTATAGTTACTCATAACAGTTTAAATAATTTAAATTTATTGTTTTCCACAGCTTTTGAAACTTGACTTTCAGATTGAAAAGTTAAATGGCAGGTATTTATAAACCCTTCACCTTTGGGTTAGGATTTGCTGTCATTAGCTATATAGTGTGTTCATACATTCAGGCTTTGACTATAGGTTTTAGAGACAAGACCAGTTTACGTCCGAGGAAACCCAGAAATTCAATGTAGAAGACTTAAAGCCTTTTCAAATCTAACTCCCAGCAGACTTAGGGTAGGAAGTTGCTGTTCAGATCATCTAGCATTCTCTGTGCCCCATTTTATCACTGATACAATTTTTTTATGTTGACTTTGATGAGGTAGATAGTCATTGCTTCTTCCAATATGAAGATCGATGATTTTCTCCTCCAAAACTCCAACATATACACATTACAACTGTTTCATAACACAGTAAAGAAATCTGTATCGGTTAATAAAGACTAATGATCACCGAAGATGCAGTATGAAATAAGCAAGGAAGATTATTTTATTTTTAATGAAAGAATTTAAAAACAACGACAAAAAAAAATCATGTGCTGAGGATGTTTACTCTAAATTTCTCTCTCAAAAAATGGAAATAAAAGTTTTAGGCTTACGCTCTTCTTTAGCCCCATTACTATCTGCTAAACAAAAATATTTAAACAATTTGAAATTGGCACATATTCACATGCTCATAGTGATGTAAATAAATTAGGACACAAAATATACCAGGAAAAGAAATGCACAATATAATACTTATTGACATGTAACTATCCACTACAGATCTCCTTCCTGTCCTCAAATGTACCTTCTTATCAGCCCTGCCCAGATATAGCCAAGTATAAATCTATAAAAATACTGACACTTCTTCAAATCTACACTACAGATCAGTTATGGCCTTGAACGCTCTATACCAGAATACTCCAGGATGTCTATGTTAAGAAGGAAATTTGCATCCAATTATAAATGGGAGATACGTTTCCTGTACTTTATCATGAAATATTCATATCCATGCTGAGGTTATGAGCTAGAGTCTGGGAAATAGGTTGTTCTGTGAAGAGCCAGTTGAAAATTCCCAGACAGGATGGCTCTCAATCAGAGACTGAGAACTCATCAAGACTGAAATACCTGAGAGAGATGATTTGATTTTGACGAAACCAGGCAGCATTACAGCAGAAAGCTTTTACAACATGCCTAGTTCCCTCCCTGCTTACCAGCTGGGCTCCTAGGCAACCCAACAAGAAGGCAAGCGTCTAGACTTCAGATGCTTCAGCCTGTGTAGCAGAATAACAACAACCAGGAATGTGAGGCTCCAGAAGTCCAAAGATGCCCAGCTTCTTTGCAGCTCAGTGGCATGAAGTCTACAAAACAAAAGTCTCAGTAGCCTGGCGCCTGAATTCAATAAACTGCCACGGCATGGGATTTCGGAGTTCCTGCCCCATTGTCAGACCACATTTACTGACAAGCTGATGGACCGTTAGGAGACAAGATACCCCCAAACCTGCAATTCCCAACTCCAGTTCTGCCAAGTCAGTCAAGGCTTCCATGCTCTTACGTCCTCTTCATCTGACCAAATGGGAATATCTGACGTCTAGAAAGCCTGACAGCACTAACTTCAAGATCCCTTGCTAGCAATTTCTTGCCAGCCTGAGCACCACCAGCTTTAATGATGCTCTGCTGTGGAGCAGCCTGCCCAATGAACCGTTCCTGAGGTTACAGGTTGATCCCAAAGGTCACAATTCCTTCCTCTTTCACAGAGAATTTAAAGTATATAGAAGAATTATTAATTGGCTAGCTGTGCACATTTTTCTTGATACCAAAATTACTGTTTTTTTCGTCTTAACAGTGTAGTTTACTAGCCTCTAGTGCAGTCTCTAAAAAGACTGAATAAAATCTCTGACCTGCTAAAGTGACTCTCCAGATGCCAATGAAAAGTTCACAATTGCTTCTTCCCCTGCTTTTTCCCCACTGCTTAGAATACTCGATACTTACATTGGGTTTGTCATTGTATTTTGTGCTTTAAATTTGTAAAATGACCTTGTAAGTAGTGACTTTCCTACAATTCTCAGGAGTCTCTTAATTTGAGCTGCAAATTGTACCTTGC